GTATGGCGAAGCAAGGGACGGCCAAAGAAGTGGCTGTTGATAAAATGAATGAAGTCAAGTCTGTTACAGCCCTGGAGTAGTGCTTGGGTGAGCAGGAGGCCCACACAATGAAGTTGCCTTCATAATCATGGCTCTTCCTAGCTGTTTGTTTTGCACTAACATGTTGGCAGAAATATTGAATATATCATGGATGCCTAAAAGAGCAAATAAATCTGTCTTGGAAGAAATGTGGCCAGAACGGAGCTCTGTAGTGGTGAGGGTAGTGAAACGTCATCTCACATGGAGAGGGTCCAGTCCCTGAAGAAGGACATTGTGCTTAGAAATGTGAAAGGTATGTGTGAGAGAGGAAGACTCTGAGTGAGTGAGGCAGGCACAGTGACCGTAAGGTGAGTGTCAGCACAGGGTAGAGGATGCAGACCGGCAGGATTGTGTTCTGTTAGCGTGTCAGGTTGGAGTCAGAGCCGATGCTCTAGCACCCAGCAGAAACAGTAATGAAAACATACAATAGAAAATTGACAAGTTTCTTTTAAAATTTTATTTATTTTTAAGTGCTTCATTAAGTAATACTAAAAATTTACTTTAGGCATTGTGTCAGCTTAACTAATTTATCTAATACTAAGAAATTCTTGATGTACTAAATTCCCAGGTTATAAATTGACCCTGTTCAGCATTAACACTTGCAAAAAATTTAATAAAAGCATTTCTAAAATATATTCTATGATTTTTATGTTAGCCAGAAATGCTGAGCCCGTCTCCTTGGTAATGTTGAGCTGTAGTCATCAGAACTGCTGAATTATGCCCTTTAGAGCCCTAGCCTCCCTGCTCTCCCTTCTCCTAGGCTTGAACCATCATACCTGTCCTGATTCTAAGGGGACTGGTTTTAGGTGCTGTCGAATCAACTCTGACTCACGGAAAGTCTGTGTACAATAAAATAAAGCACTGCCGTACTTACATGATTGCTGTGTTTGAATCCTTGATGGCACCAGTGACTCAAGTTCTCTTATTGAGCCTTTTCAGTGACCCTCTATTAAGATTGCTGTTTTTTTGTAGGGTCTAGTCCTTCCTAATGACATGTATAAAGCATCTGCATTGAAGTCTTACCCTCCTTGCTTCTACAAAGGATGGTGGCTGCACTTGTTTTGGGACAGATTTGTTTATTCTGTTGGCAATCCACATTGAAGTCTATATTCTTTGCCAATACTATAATCTGATAGTATCAGTTCTTCTCCAGTCTTCTCTATTTGTTGTCCAGCTTTAGTGTGCACATGAGGAGATTTTAAACACTGTGACTTGAGTCAAGCTGACCTCAGTCCTCAAAAACTCTTTGTTAGCCAATTTGCCTGATGAAATGTACCATTTGATATCTTGCTGCTTCTAAGAGCATTGATTGGACTCAAAGAAAATAAATTCCTAAGCAAAGTATTTTTTATTTTTATTTATTTTTTTTTTTTAGGATTTCTAAGGTAGCAGATTTACCACTTAAATTCTGTGAGAGACACAGTAGTACTGTGCTGAAACACTTACCAGGTAATACTTCAAGTGTATTTTTATATATTGTACATGTCCAGAAAAATCTTGACATTATAAAGATGGACAAGAAGTGTCTCTTTATCATGAAAATTATTTTTCTGTAAGTTGCAGGAAATGTGCAATTATTATAATAGATACAGATCTCTCATCTTTTCAACTTCTTGAAATTTCTTCTGACATAAATGATCAGATACTGTCTGTGTTACCCATGGCTCTTAGAAGTTTCCTTTGGTCTCTAATAAGCCTTAAACACTATTTGATGTAGTGTTCATTACATTTTAGGCTCAGCAATTTCAGTCCATAACCATATACTTTTCAAAGAGATATAGTTATGTCTACAGTTGTCACGTTGAGTTTTAAATTCTAAGTAAGCATTGGAATTTATCACTGTTTATTTAGTACTGGGCTCTATAAGGAGAACTGTGGCGTCAGGATTGGTGAAGATCTATTAACAGTCTGCGTTATGCAGATGACACAACCCTGCTTGCCAAAACCGAGGAGGACCTCATGCACTTGCTGCAGAGGGTCAAGGACTGCAGCCTTCAGTATGGACTGAGGCTCAATGTCAAGAAGACAAAGATTCTCACCACTGGACCAATTAATTAATTGGTAGCATCAGGATAGATGGCAAAGAGATTGAGATTGTCACAGCTTCAGTTTGCTTGGCTCCACGGTCAACACTCTTGGCACCAGCAGCCAGGAAATAAAAAAATGTATCGCGATGGGAAAGTCTGCTGTTAGGGACCTCTCTAAAGTACTCAAGAGCAACGGTGTCTCTCTGGAGACTAAGGTGTGTCTGATACAGGCCATGGTCTTTGCAATCACTTGTTATGCATCAGAGAGTTGGACAATGACTAGGGAGGATAGAAGGAGAATTGATGCCTTTGAACTGTGGTACTGGAGAAGAGTATTGAATGTACCCTGGACTGCCAAGAAAACAAACAGATTCATTCTGGAGAGGGTTAAACCAGGCTACTCCTTGGAGGCAAGAAGCTTCGTCTGACATACTTTGGACATGTTCTAAGGAGAGACAGATCATGCTTGGTAGGGTGGAGGGACAGCGCAGGAGGGGAAGACACTCTATGAGGTGGATTGATTCAGTGACTGGGGTAATCGGGAGGGGTGTGTCAGAGGCAATGCGATTGGCACAGGATAGAGCAGGGTTTAGGGCTGTTGTACATAGGGTTGCTATGACTCGCAAACGACTTGACGGCACATAACAACAACAACATATTTAGTACTACACATTACATGGGAATTTTTGCCATAATGTGTATACACACTTTCCATTTGAATTGTGGTGTTGGAGAAGAGTATTGAAGACCCCATGAACTTCTGCCAAAAGAACAAATACATCTGTTTTTTGGGGAAGTACAACCAGATGCTTCTTGGAAGCAAGAATGTTGAAACTCCATCTTACATACTTCTGACATGTTATCAAGTGGCATTAGTCTTCGGAAAAAGATATGCTAGGAGAAGTGGAGGGTCAGGAAAAGAAAGGAAGAGCCCCAAGGAGATGAATTGGCATGGTGACTGTAACAGTGAACTATATGGCTAAGAGGGTGACTCCAGAAAAGCTTTCAGTCTGTTGATAAGGTCACTACATGTTGTAGTTAACTCCACAGCAACCAAAAGCAACATCTTTCGATAATCAAGAAGCTTTTGCTGGCAGAGTTAGTTGTGGTTATTGGGTTGCGAACCAAAAAGCTGGCAGTTCAAATCTACGATCTTTTCTGTGAGAGAGTGATAGACAGTCTCCTTCTGTAAGGGTTTATTGCTTTGGAAGCTGAAATGAAGGTTGCTGTCAGCCAGAACCAGCTGGACAGCACTAGCATCTTTATGTAGATTCAGACAGGCTGGATGACCAGGAAGTATGATCGTGTTTGAAGACTACATCATTAAGATGTTAATTGTGAAAAAGTATAGACTTTTGTCTTCCTTTACTTATAGTGACCTTAGTACAGCTCTCATATTTGGAATACATCTTACATTCTTTATTTACAACTGCACTTCCAGTCGCTTAACATCTTAAATCCTATTTATATACTAACGTTTATAATTTATAGTGACTTAGGAAGTCTTACACTTTATAACTTTCTGAAGTCAGATTTCCAAAATTATTCATCAACACATTTTCAAAAGGGCATTTTATTTCTATGAATTGGTATATTTAATAATAACATCTATAATGTTAGTGCTTTGTTTATTTGAGGATATGCTTATTTATAATGCCCTGTTGAGACCTACTCTACTATTATAGTGAAATGGGCATATAGATGCCCCTGTGAAGAATTCCAGTTCCGGTTTAGGTAGAGTGATTGCTGAGGTCATTGTAGTAAGTGACATATTATTGGAAATAAAGTAAGCTTTTTCCTTTTTTATAGGGATAAGTTTAGTTTTGAGGAGTGTGAATCAGTTAATATTTGGTTGTGAGCCAGTTCTCCTTCTCTCTAACTGTAGCACATACATAAAAAACACATTTGCTTCTTAAGTGCCTGATGAATCTGCAGTGATTAATTCTTCTCATTATTTTGCTGCAAAGTCTCATGACCCTCCGTGATGATTCGATCAGCCACTTAGAGTTTATGCATATTCTTATTTCTGTGCTCCTGCTGCAGTCGTTCAAGTCTCCTTTCCTGACTGGTGTGTGCAGTAATTGAGCTGCAGTAGATTAATTACTCTGGGGAACTGTAAGGCCTTTAAAGGTGAAAACATATCAGTCCTGTTAATTAGGAAACAAAAGCTCTAGTGGCAGTTCAGCAGTCAAATGTTCCCAGAATAGAAAAAAGATGAAAGGTAGGATTTGTTTCTCTCCATGAACCTCTTTACTTTTTAAAATTTGAATTTGGTCTGTAACAGTGGTACAGGGCAGCTGCAAAGAATAGGAGCTTTCACAGAATGCTAAAAGTAGAGAATCTATATCATAATAATTGATTAATAGTGTCATTTGTGATCTCAACTGTGTGTGGTAGCTCAGATACAGATTTGAGTTTACATACTTTTTTACCACTGGCGCTATTTATATGACATCTAAATACATTTAAGTATATGCTTATATATTAAATGACTGTATAACATGGATTCATTTTGGCAGTTAAAGGCTTATATTGGTCTACAGCATTATAACAATCTCTTTAGCAAATGTGCTTTGATCTTTTCTGTCTTAAACCTACATTAAATAATACAATATCATGGCAAAAAGGAGCCTGTATGCAACAGTGTCCTGACTCAAAGGAAGGCAGTTCAGATCTCCACAAGAGAAAGGTGGACAGTCTCTTCTATTGATTTACTGCCCCTGAAAACTCACTGGCAAGTCAGCTATGAGTCCATTCTAATTCAGTGGTACATAATAACAACAACATGACACTACTAGAGAATATAATCCATAGTTTATATTTAGTGGATTTTTGTGTTTGTGTATGTATGGTTTTAAATAATTTTAACCACTATTTGTCCTTTATATATTTCAGGCATTTATAAATACGGCAAAAGAAATTTATGAAAAAATCCAAGAAGGTGTTATAGATATAAATAATGAGGTATATTTAAATATTGCTGGCTTATGTTAAATTTGAATTTTAGTTACTACTTAGATTTATAATTTCACTTTCTTTAAATATTTAAGTGAAATATTTCAGACACGTAACTGAAAAGTTGGTACAGATAATGTTTGTTGTTGTTATATGCCATCGAGTCACTTGCAACTCATATAGTGACCCTATGTACAAGAGCTCTAAACGCTGTTCTATCCTGTGCCAACGTAGCCATCTCCAACGCACTTATTCCCACCACTCCAGTCACAGAATCAATCCATCTCATCGAAGGTCTTCCTCTCCTTCGCCGCCCCTCGACTCTGCCAAACATGATGTCCTTCTCCAAGGACCAGTCCCTCCTTGCAACATGCCCAAAGTATGTCAGACGTAGCTTCAGAATCCTTGATTCCAAGGAGCATTCCGGCTTCACCTTCTCCGGAACAAACCAGTTTGTTCTCCTAGCAGTCCATGGTGTATTCAACATTCTTCTCCAGCACCACAGCTCAAAGGCATCAATTCTCTTTCTATCAACCCTATTCACTGTCCAACTCTCTGATGCATAGCACGTAATTACAAAGACTATAGCCCAGATCAGGAGCAGCTTAGTCTCCAGCCTGACATTGTTGCTCTTCAGTACTCTTGAGAAGGTCCTTCACAGCCGACTTTCCCAATGCAAGTCGTCTCTTGATTTCCTGGCTGCTGTTACCAAGAGTGTTGATTGTGGAGCCAAGCAAACTAAAACTTTTAACTATCTGAATCTCTTCACCATCCGTACTGATGCAGCCAATTGGCCCAGTGGTGAGAATCTTTGTTTTCTTGATGCGGACCCCCTTCCATTTTCATAGATAAAGTGACTCTGTCCTTTAACATAAATATTTAACTACTTACTATATTACCTAAAAAAATAGGTTATATAGTAGTTAAATATTTGTTAAAGGACAGAGTCACTTTATCTATGAAAATGGATTTAAAATGACCCTATCCATTTACGACAAACAGCGCATAATATTTTAAATCCCCAAAAGAGTGAATATCTGCTTTCAACCATATGTCCATATTGTGTCATCTGCTTTGGGGAATAATTTTCAAGTGTGTAAATGCATACACTGTGTTACTAATGCAAAATGCTCTTTCTGTGGTCTGCTATGAATGCAGGAAATACCCCATTTGGAAACTATGCCCAATAAAGCAGGTTTTTAGGAGACCAAGTTAATTTGTATAATTGACATTGGGTTTTTATAAAGTTACTTTGATTGGTTTTGGTCAACATGATTGGGATTCAAATGTAAAACCTTTGAAGCTTAAAAATTGTTAGGGCTTACCAAAAGCCATTGTTTTCACATAATTCCTCACTATGGATTTGTCCTTTTTTATTTCTGATTGTTTAGAGGGATGGAGCATATTATTTACTTTTACATAAATATTTTTGCCATGCTATATTAAGGCTTTTTTCTTCCAAGATAAAAATCCCTCCATCTCCACATTGTGGCTAGGGAACACTGGTAGAAGCAGCTTTGCTTGTGTCTTTTGATCTGTACATTAACAAAGCTCTCAGCCTTTGTATTCTTTGCCAAAACAAACATCTTTTTCTGAGATTTACAGTAGGTACTTGACTTTCTCATTCCTCTTAATTTGGAGTAGTAAAGTGTCTAAATCCCACTTCTTGGTCTATATGACAGTAATTCTTTTTTATTATCTTTTTTTATTAATTTCAATGAACATTTACAGAGATTTTGGGTTTCCATTCATTCATTGTTGCACTTTTCTCCCCACCCACCCCACCCCCCCCTCCAGTTCGCACTTCTTTAAAAGCAAAAGAAAAACTCCTTCATTGGTATACAATACCCCCACACTCCACCCACCCTCATCCATTCTGCAACCCCATTCCAAACTCTTATGATAATCATAATGCCCTAAAATATATTATTTTTAAACTGTTCTCTCCTTCAACGGCTTCAATGCAGTATACATAATTTATGCAGTTTTTCTCAGTCTTACCCCCACCCTGATGTCAGCCTCATTCTACAACAGTGGCACCATACAGTATTTGTCCTTTTGTGAGTGAGATATTTCACTCAGCATAATGTCCTCCAGGGCCACCCATTTTGAATAATATTGCATGAATTCCTTGTTTTTAATGCAGCATAGTATTCCATTGTGTGGATATACCACAGCTTCTCTATCCATTTGCTTGTTAATGGCACTTAGGTTGTTTCCAACTCCTTGCTATTGTGAACAAAGCCACAATAAACATGGGTGTGCATGTACCTGCTTGGATGTCAGTTATGGTCTCTTTGGGGTATATTCCCAGTAGTGGAATTGCTGGGTCAAATGGTATCTCTATTTGCAACTTTTTGAGAAAGCACCATACCGCCTTCCACAGTGGTTGCACCATTTTACACTCCCACCAACAGTGAATACGGGTTCCAGTCTCTCCACTGCATTTGTTGCTTGCTGTTCTGTTAAATTTTGCTAGTCTTACTGGGGTGAGATGATACCTCATGATTGTCTTGATTTGCATCTCTCTTAGAGCTAGGGATTTTGAACCACTGTCTGTCCCTACACCAGTGTCTCTCCCTATAACACTGTCTCTCCCTGTACCACTGTCTGTCCCTACACCACTGTCCCTCCCTGTAACACTGTCTCTCCCCATACCACTGGCTCATTTCTTCATGTGCTTTTTGGCCATCTGAATGTCTTCTTTGGTCTGTTCATATCCTGTGCCCATTTTCCAATTGGATTATTTACCTTTATCTTGTTGTGGTGCTCAAGTATTTTATAAATTCTGGATATAAGTCCCTTATCTGACATGTCATTACCAAATACTTTTTCCCAGTCTGTGGTTTCCCTTTTTTACCCTGTTGGAGAAGATTTTGGATGTGCATAAGGATTTGATTCTTAGAAGTTCCCATTCATATATTTTATCTTCTCCTGGTTGTAGATTTTTCAGGATACTTGGAAGACAGTAATTCTTGAGTTAAAGACTTCACCATTTCAATGACTGATACCATATAAATTGAACAGTAATTAGACCACTGTTTTGAAAGAGAACTTTAATTGTTTCTATGTTCATATAGTAGCTGTCTGCTTTACTATGCTTGTGCATGGAGCTTTGATTGTAACATGCTGTGAAGAGCCAGCAGTCCTTGCTATTTATCTGGCCTAATGCAAAGTCTGACTCCTCAATTCCTCAAGACGTTGCTACCAGCCCAGAGGGGGCAGAACCAATGAGCCATAGAGCATGCCTTTTATTAAAGAGGAGTCGAAGGAGTGAAAAGAAACCACATCAGCTGCTGTCAATACTAAGCTAGTTCCAGAAACCCAAGGCTACTGCTGCTGCAGAGCAACTGCCAAGCACTATAAATCTGAGATTTCCTGTGACGCAAAGTTTCCTTAAGAGCTTAGTTTCTGAGGCTATTGTATTACTTTTCCCAAAGTGTTGTACTTTTATTTAAAATCCACTTAAGGGAGTTGAGGGTTAAGATAGAAGTGTGAGTTTGATGAGTGAAAGAACCGGTTGTGTGTGTGTGTGTGTGTGTGTGTGTGTGTGTGTGTTTTCTTGGCACACTGCCATTTATTTGGGGATCCTAGAAATTATTGATGACACAGAACACTCGTGTGCCTTTAGCCTGTACAACTGATTCAACAGGGAACAGCACTGCCATCTAGAGAAAAGATTTACTTTGTAGTAGGGTTTGAATGGTTTTTACCCTGCAAAGATTATTACAGTAATTGCTTTAAACAATTTCCACATTTTGAGATTTCCTGAAAAGCAACACTGTCCATTTTGTTTATGAGGCACTTGATTATTGTTAAAAACATCTTTTCCTCCTCTACACTTTCGTTTTAGAACTTGTTATTGTTGTTATATGCTGTCGAGTCACCTGCAACTCATAGCAACCCTATGTACAACAACCCTAAAACCTGCTCTATCCTGTGCCAATCTGAAAAATAACTGAAAAAGTTATTTTCAGAAATGTTTCTTTAGTGTTCTTTTTGTTTAAAGGAAGGCACCATTCACTAAAAGCTGCTTTTGCCAAAATTTGCTTAATATATTACATTTTTTAGTTGTTTCGAAAATTGTGTCATAATTGTAAAATGAAAGTTTTAATTGCTGTATTGTTGTAGCCAGTTCTATTTATTGTCCTTTTCTCTTTTGTTTCAGGCAACGGGCATTAAAATTGGCCCTCAGCATGCTGCTACTAATGCAATACAGGTGGGCAGTCAGGGAGGCCAGCTAGCAAGGAGTGGCTGCTGCTGAGTGCTTTTACCATCTCGCTGCCCACATGGGGCCTCTTCATGGTCTCCTCAGTTGTTCTTTCACCCTCTCCTGCTCAACTGAGACATCAAACTGTTCAAAATGGCTTTATGTCATAGAAGATTCCTTCAACTTCTGTCTAACTTTGAATAAATGGTTAATGTTCACTTAAAAAAACAAGAAAAAAATGTATGTTCTATTTTTGTAGAGGGTTCTTTGTTAATACAAGGTAGTGTAAAACTCACTCTTTTCTTCCTCAGCCATTATAACCTATAGGTGAGATACTGGAGAGTCAGAAAAAGAAGTGAAAATAATTGCTCGGATTTGCCCTCTCAGTGCATATTAGTAACTTAGACTACCTGAAGATACTATTTTCTACTTCAACACCATTGCCCTCTCCAGATTCCCCTATTAAAATGTATTCTAAGGAAAAAACACAAATGCATTCTCTTAGGCTCTAATGACATCTGAAGTTTCAGAATCTTTATTTTAGTACAAAATTAAAAACAAACATATGACCTTCAAGTTGAATTTCACTCATAGCTACTCTATATTCTCTCTTGATTATTAGAAACATTAAAGCTTAAGAATTCTTAATATACTGATGTCATGTCAGGAAACATCCTGAGCTACTATATATCTGAAGTAGAATTTAACTTGAGAGCTCTTTTTTGATGTCTGAATTTTAGATTTTCTTTTAATCATGACTTTAGAAGTAGAAACTGAGCCCCAGAACTGCTCATTTACTTCCTTGTAGACACTCAAAGATTGAATGGCAGAGGTAGAATAGACTAAGTAGACAAAGCATTCAGATCTGAGAAGCCTCTGAGTAGCAGATATAAGTGAAGACTAACTCCTGGAGATGAAAAGACAAGGAAAAATGTGGGGTTGCCTATATAATAAAAAAAGTAATTTCTAGATCCATCTTGAAGTACAACATCATGAGTGACAGGATTATATCCATACGCTTACAAGGAAGTCCAGTAAATACCACTATCATTCAGATATATGCACCAACAACCAGAGCCAAAGAAGAAGAAATAGATGATTTCTACCAACTTGTACAGTCGGAGATAGATCGAACATGCAATCAAGATGCATTGATAATAATGGGTGACTGGAATGCAAAAGTTGGGAACAGAGAAGAAGAATCAGTCGGAAAACATGGGCTTGGTGACAGGAATGAAGCTGGAGATAGAATGATTGAATTTTGTAAAATCAATGACTTATTCA